AGTTCGTTAATTATTGTTGCGTTGTTTCAGCCGTATCTGACTATTAGTGACCCCATTTGGGGGTTTTCTTGGCAAAGATATTAGGGTGGTTTGCCTTTTCATTGAAATACATTGACTCAGAAATCACAAATTAAAAAACATTATAATGTAGCATCCTCTCATTTCTTGAGCCAAAGGAGAGTATGTTTAGATGAAATACTGCACTTGATATGGACTTTAATGGAAAACAATTCTAGTAAAATCTATTATGTTTAGGCTTATAATTCAGGTAAATGTAAAACGTGGTATAGGAAAGGTGCATTGACTGATAAGACATTTGGTTATAAACTCCACAAATTGAATTTTAAGAAACTTGTAAAAAAAAATTTTCAGTGTATCCTTTGAAGATGCATATCTATGTATGCGTACATGTGAATACATACATGTAACACACATACACATGGTGTTGGCACTCAGGATAGAATTAATATTTACCAGTAGGTTAATTATGTTATTATAGGGTTTGTTTATATTAGAAAAATTCATTCAGAGAATGTAAGGTACTAAGAATTCAATCTAGAAGGAACTTTTTTTTAGAGGTTGACTAGGTCTGTTTTGCTTTGAAGAAAACAGAGACCCAGAGAGTTCAGGTAATACTACTAAGATTACATGGTTCATGAATAGCAGAGCTAAGATTTAAACCCTTGTCCTCTAATTTTAAATCCAGGAGTTTTTTTCCCCCCATGATTTCACTAATGCTATAGTTGTGAAAGTGCAATACAAGGTGTCCTAAAGTCTTAATGCATTTAAAATATATCTTGTCCAATAATGTCATAGGAGGATATAATTAGCTTTTTAAAAATGTTTAACCATCATAATTAGGAGTCATCTGGGGGAGAGGTTTAAAAAATTGGGTATTTAGAGAAACTTTTTTTTATTTTTAGAGTGACGTTATGGTTGATTCAGACGTTCAAGGAGTTCAAGTAAAGGAGAATATTAAATTCACACCTTCATTATCTGAACAGCGGCATAAGTTTGTTTTAGATTTTGTACGGAAACATAAGCCCCAAAAGGTTGGTTGGCATTTCATTGCTTTCAGTATGTCCAAACGTATAAAGAAGGCTTTCTTCAGACATATCTCCAAGATGGATGAGTGGGTAGGGGGAGCCAAACAGAACACTTATGTTTAACTGAATGTTGTTTTTTTCTGTCTTTGTATCTCTCAGGCCTAGCCCAGCACTTGGAGCAAAGGTGCATAAAAAGGGTTGAGTATGTTGCAGTTTCAACATCTTAGAGAGTTTGGCTAAAATTTAATCAACTTGATTTTCCTTTAGGGAATGCTCTTAAGTTGGTAGGCTCATTCAACTGAATTAAACATTATCCAATGTAAATAAAATTAGATTTTCATTGAATGGCATTTAGGATTGGTTTAGGCATTTGATACACATTTGCATTGTCTCTAGTAAAATTGTCATGAATTGGGGCCTGTTGCATTGGATAAATGCTATACTAAAATTCCATTCACCTTTTTGTTGAAATTGATTTGTGTTTAGAAAGAGTATAGACCTGAAAAGTGCAACTTCGTTCATGATAAATAGGACTTGCTATAGGCATCTTAAAGTAGGATTCATGCCTTAGGATCTGTGTGTGCTATGCACAATTGGTGACCTAACTTCCTTTTTCCTCAACTTTTCCCAGATTCCCTGTTCACTCAAGACCTCCTTGTCTTCTTTCTTGAGGAAGCTAGTGTCTCTTGCTTACCCTTCCATCCTTTTTGCTGCATTCTTGGATCCTTTAATTAAACAAGCATTTGTTCTGTGTATTATATGTACCAGGAACTGTGCTAGACAGCAGTTTCTGAGGAACTTGAATTCTACTAGGGCAAAGCAATGTGGACAACAATGTGTAAATGCAAACTATATACCAAGTGATATTTATGAGGGACAGGGTGAGAATATTAATCTGATGGCATTAGAACAGACCTCATGTAGGAAGTGGTAACTGAGTTGAGGTTTTAAAAGAGTCAAGAACTCCAGGAGGGTAGAGGTGAAGAAAGAACCCTATGCAGTAAAGCTTGTGCAAAGAGTAGGAGGGGGAATAGGAGAGAGAAGTGTGAGTGTGTGTGTGTGTGTGTGTTGGGGGGGAAGCAAATAGGTTGAGTTTGGCTAGAATATAAGGTGTGAAGCATTGTTAGAAGATGAGATTGTGAAGGACTTAAATGCTGCAGAGGAGTTTGTGCTTTATCCTAGAGGCATTTGGGAGTGGGGGAGTGATATGGTTCAGGAATATTATTACTTTGTCAGTTTTCTGGACCATGAATTACAGAGGGGAGTGACTGGAAGCAGAGAAACCAATTAGGGGGCTATTTTAATAATACAGGTAAGAAAATTATGAGGGTGTGGAAGAAAACTGTACTCTGGATTTTGGGCACAGCCTGACAGAAAAAATATAATTATTGAGTTCTAATTCTAAATATCTCTGCTTAGAGGAAGGAAATCCAGAGGAACAGAAATTCAGCTGATCTTTGAGAATCTCAAGTTATTTTTCACTCGATATTTAATAGTATTCCCAAACAAAAACAAAATTCTGCATCAGGATAAAACAGTTACAGACAAAGTTCAGTCAACAACAACAAGGTTGAGTCAGTGTTTTGCTTCATCAGACAGAACTTGACTATCTGAAAGTTACTTAAATTTATCACCCATATGTGAGGGTCATTTTCTGAAAACAGTTTGTCTCTTTAACAGCTCTTTCCAAGGGCTCTTCTTTCATTGTGGTCAAACGTAAACTCATGAAATACTTCTATTAAATGAATTAGTTAAAACCTTTTTCTTAGTCTGATCATTACACTAATCATTTCGGGAAAGAGTTTTTCCTAGGCTAATAAGGCATTTCCCTTTAAATCGATTAAGACTTTGATAAGAATGTTTTTAAAAAGATTTCAGTGCTGGACATTGTTTTAGAATTGATTAAAAACTAACAAAATTTCTTATTCAGATTAGAACTAGGACCTCTTGATATTTTGATATTCTAGAGAGAACATACAAGAGGGGGGCATCAGTAGCCTTTCACAAAGACCCTGAATTAGGGTGGTGGTTGTATGTGTGCAAGAAAGGTGAGGGATACTAAAGGTGTTGCTGAGCTCAAATCAGTAAGACTTAGCACCTTATTGGATGTGGGGAGGATGGGGTGGAGTGGAGTGTGAAATAGAGGGAAGAATCAAGGATGACGCCAATGTTTAGAACCTGAATTCCTATAAGAATGGTGATGTCCTTGACATAAATAGGGAAATTAGGAAGACATGATATATTTGAGATGTCTATGGGACATCAGGCTGGATATTTAGATTTGGAATTTATCTGCAAAAGATGATTACATTTTGGCTGAGACACTCCTCTCCCCATTAAGAGAGAGTATAGAGAATGGAAAATTCTGGAAAATTTCTAACAAATAAACAAAAATGTAAAACATAAGTAGTATTACATCTTAAGACCAAATCAACATGTAGCCCGCAGGGATCCTTAAGTCAATTTAGTGGCCCTACTATCTATACAAGTTTGACACCAGTGAAGAAGAGCTCCCAGGAAATGCAAAGGGAGTGGGAGATGTGTGATGACATCAGCAAAGGACATCTAGGCAGAGTCAGGTAAGGAGAGAGCCAGGAGAGAGCAATGTTAGTGAAAATGCTGGGGAGAGAGGATATTGGGGGTGGGGAATACCAACACTGAGGTAAAGAAAGGTGAGCATGAAGAAAGGGTCGCTGGATTTTAGCCATTAATAGATTCTTGGTAGTCTCGGAGAAAGCAAATTTAGTCAGGTGGTGAGGTGAGAAGTGAGTGCAAGGTGATGAAAAGGCATCAATATGGGCATCTTTTCTGGGATTTTATTCTGAAGTTAATATTCCTTTTAACGAGTATCAATGTCTTAAGTAAAAAAGATAGAGCTTTTAGGTATCATCAAAGAGTATGGAATTATGATGTAGAGTTTAGTACCTTTGCATTGCTCCTGAGCTCCTACTCCTATCTGTATCTCGTGGAGAAAACTAATTTGTGGAAACTTCTGTAAATAGTATGCTTTATTCCAGATGGAGTTAGGAGTACAATTGGTACATTACAGTCACTGACAGAATTTGTATTTCATTTTTGAAAGGGGCAGTCAGATTTCTTTGACTATTGTAGGTTATAGTGTGGCCTTAAGACACTTAAGGGTATACTACACCCTTTGGAGTTTAGGCTTTGATCAATTGATGCTATGGCTTTTTTTAGGACTTTTGACTGATTGGTATTCCTTTAAATCGGATTTTTCTAAAGACCTACAAAAGCTATTACTGTGATGCTGATAGTTTCTTGAGTAGAAACCTATCCTTTATATTGTAAAAAATACTATCTACAGTATTTTAAAGTTATACTCTACAGAATAAATAATAAAGTGTGCAAAACATTGACATATCCATTCTATATACATAGAAAGCTCAAACCAGTTATTCTACTATTAAGATCTTATTTGTTGTCAGAAGTTTGTTGCTCAAGAAGGCACTCTATAACACCAAGGAAATATTTACTGAGGCATGCATTGAAATAAAAGTAAACCAAAATTATTTTTTTCTTATGCTATTCCTTATTTATTTACTCAATTAAAAATTATTTGGCTTCATTACGTTAATGTGTTTATAGTAAAATAGGCTGTGTCATTATTTAGGAGAGAGGTGATCCAGAATTATGATCTGCTTCAGTGGAGGGAAGAACTGGAAGATTTAGAGTTAGTTGTCTGGGACACAGAGGTTAAGTGACTTGCCTACTCTCACACAGTTGGTATATGTCAGTAAGGAAGACTTATCTTCCACACCTGGCTCTAAGTCTAACCTTATGCCCTACATCATGCTGCCTTTCCATGTACTTATTCTATTCTTATTTCCAGAAATCTTCTCAATTCATGCTTGAGCATATTTTTGTGATAAAATATCTCATAAAAATACCTTTTGAGATAGTATATGGTTATTGTCTTTTCCATTTTATTTCTAGGTTGCAGATTTGGGATGTGCCAACTGTAAGCTCTTATGGAGGCTAAAATATCATGAATCCATTGAGGTGCTTGCTGGACTGGATATTGATGAGAACATATTAACACGGAACATGTAATATTGTACTTAATTTTTTTCCTAAAAGTCTTTACTTTTAGATCAATGAATATCATAGAAGACTTACCATGATTAGGTTTAATTTTGTAAATATTGAACTTGAAAAGGTTGGGAAGATTGAAAAAAACAGAGCCTTACTCAAGATCAAAGAATAAGATGATTTTTTTTTTTTTGGTGGTTATATCCCTGCATTGGGCTTAGTTGTATTGTATTTTTAAAAAGGGGATGGGGTAGGCGCAGTTAAGTGGCGCAGTGGATAGAACACCAGGCCTGAAGTCAGGAGTACCTGAGTTCAAATCCAGCCTCAGACCAAACACTTGACACTTACTAGCTGTGTGACCCTGGGCAAGTCACTTAACCACAATTGCCTAAAAAAACAAAGCAAAACAAAAAACAAAAATAAAAAGGGGATGGGGAACTACTTTGTTTTATTTGTGTGAAAGCCATGACAGAAACATGAAATTACTGTTCCCATGCCATTAAGATGACCCTTAGTGAATTAGACCATTCTTGGTTGTAAATCCATTTTGCTTTTATTATACTCTGTCTTTCTTATCATAGTAGATGACATTGCATGGTGCTAAGAGTTACTTAGGTTGTGAGTCAGTTTATTATATAATTTTGTATTGTTGAAACTACTGTTTACATTTTCATGAGGAAAAGATAGGTGTTGACAGGTTTTTCCAGTTGCACCACATCTTCAAACACCCAATTGACTGAAATATTGGGAATACAAAATCATAAATCAATGCTCTAGAGTGGATTGCAAAACAAAAACCAAAGAAAACATTTGCCTTGGAACAGAATAGAACTTTAAAGGTTCTCAAATAATGTATTTCCTGTATATGTGTTAAGATCATCGAAGATTTGCTGATGAAACTGCAGCCATTATTTTATTTAATGATCTCATCTGATAGTAGTTGTCAAATGAGTTAAAGTTTGCACAGAGCTTTATATACATTAAATGACTATATAAATACCAGTTAAATAAAAATAAATAAATGCAGCATGAGGTGTAGGAGACATAATCACTACAGAGATTTGCTAATATCCTTGAGTGAATCCTGTGTATAAAGTCCAAATAGGTTTTTAGATGGTCCTGCTTACAAATAATGTTGTATTTGATTGCTTTAAGTTCCAGAACACTACGAGATACCCCATTGAAATCCATGATCATGCTAAAGAGATGTCTATACAGAAAATAGCAAATAGAGGAAGAGTGCTGTCATACAGATTGTGGAAGGAATAGCCCAATGAGTTAGTCCCATGTGTACATATATCTTGAATGAAGTGTACAGATGAACTGTGAACCAGGCTTAAAACTAGTTAGGAAAAAGAATAGGCTAGATTGTATCTGACAAAGTACATAGCACTTTCATTGATCATTAACTGTTTCTTGCTGCAAAAGCCTAGCTTTTAACTCCATTATTCTTCAAATGATATTATAATAGCTGTGAGTTATGGAATACCATGTTAGTAGTACATGGTAAAATGGCTGCAGCTTTTTCCTTTGATGAAACTTTGTGAGAAGAGCAATTAGTGATCAGGCACATGTATGGATATAAAAAGAGATGAATCAGTCATAAAATGATACTTGTGACAAGATGACTTGATTTGATAGTTTGATCAATATTTTATAATTTGGGTGATGTGCACTCTTGGAAATAGATTATAATTTGTAGTTATGAAAAATGATATTGCTGATATAGTAATAGAAGGTTTTCAGCATGTGCTGCTCTTCCATGCATGGTTTTTGGAAAGAAGTTTACAAGAACCACACTGGATGAGAAAGGGCTCTAATATGTATTGATTGATAGAGAGCCCATGTGGAGGTCAGAGTGCTGTAGAAATTTTGCAGTTTAGTACATAGTTTAATTGAAGCCTTAGTTTCAGCTTTTAAAAAAATTAAGCATTTTTCATAACTACAAAAGTTTGTGCTTCCATTTTCACAAACTAATTTGGTGACTGAATACTGTTTAGCACTTGAAATATCGATGGAACCCATAAATGCTGGTCTTGGAGTGGGGATAAAAAAAGACCCCAAATGAAAGGGAGTTGGGTAATTTTTAGAGCAAAGTAGAGAAAATTAAAATTTCAATATTATTCAATTTATTGAATTCTATTCAATTATCTATTTTCAATATTAACTGTTATATATAGTTTTACACAATTTCATATTAAGTGTTTTGGACTAAAATATTGCTGGCATCAATTCTCGGGACCCCTATTTTCCAGATAAGTTTTTATAGAAAGCAGTTTAATAAATGCTACTCTTTGTAACTGAGATGTCCCTTAATTTAAACATCTCAGTTCATTTTGCCTACATCCATCTTACCTTCCTAAAGTAATAAATGCTAGGAATGTTCTTGGGGTAAAAAACTTTGAATTAGATGTCTATTTATAAATGTAAAGTCTTGTGATTGCTATTCCTTCAGATCACGATAATCCTCTATCATGCTAAAAAGGAATTAGCTTTTACAAAACTATTGATACTTTTGTACTTTTAAATTTCAGGTCTATTGTAATACTAGCTCTAAAAACCCATTTTCTAGGGAAGATGTGGTTATCTGTTATCTCTGAAGATGTTATCTGTAGGCCAAGGAGTGCTATGGCATAATAAGCATGGTTTTTATTCCATTAACTTCCTTTTATTTTCTGCTTCTAGAGTTTTTGTAGTTTATGCTATAGTTTAATTCTGAGGTTGGGTTTAGTATGAATAGTTCTTTGGGAATAAAGTTCCTTCATCTTGAAGGCCTGGTGGACCTTTGACTGTTGATTATGGGCATCAGACTTGGAACACTTTTAGTCACTCTTAAAATAACGTTTTTACAGTTATAGGTTACATACAGGTGCTGGAGACTATCTAGATCCCCGGGAGAGGCCTTTAACTATTACCTTATATCATGGCTCTGTGGTGGAAAAAGATCCTTGCCTCCTTGGATTTGATTTGATAACATGCATAGAATTGTGAGTATTGATCTGACAGGTATTCTGTGATGTTAATTTGAAGGATTTTTTTCTTGACTAAATTAGTGTGAATTAAAGGGAAAATGACATGTACTGCTTGAATCCAACCAATTAAATGGCAAATGTATACTCTGTGAGGTGGAACCAAGAGACTACATACACAGTGACCACACATGTAAAAGACATCATTAAAGGACTTCAAAACTCAGATCAAGACAATAACAAATCTTGATCATAGAACACTGATCAAATATACCTCCCTCCTGTCACGTAGAGGTAGTGGACTACAGATGCAGAACAGGACATGAGCTACTTACTAGACATCTGTTGGTTTTATTTAACTGTACTTCTTGCTTACAAGACAGTTCTGTTGGAGGAGGAGTAGTATTGAGAAATGAGTGTTGTTTAAAAAGACATTGATAAAACATTGACAGGGTTTGAGAATCAAATAAGTCAGTTCCTTTCTCTAATTTTTGAAGTGGTGTTTAAATGACAGTTTGGAGGAAAAATGTGCTAGATTAGTAATTTTTATTGGTGGCTTTTATGTATTTAATATTCTTTTGCCCCAACTGACTTTATCCTTGAAGAGATAGCAACTTTGAGTTTAGTAATACCTAAAGGGGCAATAAAGGAGGCTAAAGTTTCCCCTTTTAAAGTATACAGTCCTTGAGGGCAGGAACTGTTTAACTTTGTACTCTTAGCACTGTGCCTGACAGGTAGTAAATGCTTAATAAATTCTTTTTGACTACTCAGCTGTGAAGTATGGTTAACAGTTCATATGTGAAAACTTTCCTTTGAAGGCAAAAAAAAAAACCCCAAACAAACCCTTCACATTCCATACCCACTTCAAGTTAGTAGGGCTAATAATGCAGATATTAATTTTTTTTTCTTTATGAGAAAATTTTGATGAGAATTTAAGCTTATTGACATCTGGTTTTGAAGGTTCTACTCTTTTTTTTTTTTTAAATCAGGGTAATATTGGCCCTTCTGTGTTGAGGTGCTTCTCAGATTCTCTGTGGCCTTTTAAAGATCACTAAGTAGTGGCTTACATTGTAGCTACCAGTTATAAGGACTCTAGGGTGGCATTCTACGGTTCAAGTGACTTAAATTTACTGATGACAGGTGCTGCTGTTATTTCTTTACTCCCTGAGTAGGCATTTTGATTCTGTCTTTCCTAGTCCACAGATCATTCTTGGTAGAGGGAAAAAGCAAAGTAAGAGTTAAGCGGCTCAATCATCTTTAATTCTCCTTTCCTTTGCTCCTTTTCCCAATATACCTTAAAAAAACTCAACTTTATTGTCTTTGGTATTAGAACATTTGACTGACTTAGTACAGCAAAATGGTGCCTTAAAGACCCTCTTCTAACAAGAAATCTGTTGATATGTTAAGATCATACAAGGTTTAGATGCAACCATAGAACCTTGACACAATGAGAGAATTTTTAGAATTGGAAGGGACCTCTCTGGCCATCTAGTCCAAACCATAGCCCTCTACATTATATTTGATAAGTGGTCATTTGGCCTCTGTATGGATGGGAGGCAGTCTTACTTCCCAAGGAAATCCATTGGCACAATGGATAGAGTCACAATTGGAATCGGGAAGACTGAGTCTAAAACCTGCCTCAGACACTTTACTAGCTATGGAACCTTGCACAAGTTACTTAACCACTCACAGCCTCAGTTTCCTTATTTATGAAATGAGAATAGTAGCATCTACCTTATAATGTTGTTAGGAGCAAATGAGATAATATACATGTAAGCACTTAACAAAAGTGCTACACTATTTATTATTTCACTTTTGCACAGCTCTAATTTTTAGGAAGCTTTTTCTTCTGTCATAAATTGGCCTCTGTTACTTGCCGTGCTCCTGATTCTGCCCTCTCAAACCAAGACCAAGCCTAATTCAAACAGCTACCTCATATTGCTCTGCTTTAAGGAACACTTGATTTACCCCTTTATTTCCCTTCTTACAAAGTCACTCATTTCTGGTATATGCCTGAGTGGGCTTTTTCATGAGTTTCTCTTCACTTTTAGTTCTCCTCTGAAGTTGTCCTGTGTGTTATTGGGATAATTCACCAAGTGTCCTTTATTTATCTTCCCCTATGTATTGTCTTTTCTGATACCCTAGGAAGCCTTCTCAGCTTATTACAAATCTACCTCTTACTCTCATCTGATTGGTAATCATAGCCATGTAGATATATATTTTTTAATGTAGTTCATACTTTTTTCCCCCTCAACTTTCATTTTAGACATGCATATCATTTCTGGGTTGATCCATCTTGTTTTTCTTCCCCTCAGTTACAAATTCCTTGAGCAAAGAGTGTGTAATAGAAAGAGTACTGACTAGAGTCGGAGAACTAGGTTCAAATCTCATCTCTGATGCTCACTCCCTTGGTGACGTTGAGTGAATCACTTATCCTCTCTTAGCCTTGGTTGGACAAGATGGTCTCTCAGATGCCTTATGGCTCTAGATCTGTGATCCAGCCAAGACTCTTAAAGCACCAAACAGCATTGAAATGTGTGTCGTGCAAACTTGCCCCTTGATGATAAATGCCTTCTGGACTTGATTTCTGATAATCTCGTTTGTAGTGCCACAATGTCCCAAGTATTTTGTGCATGTTTGCCTGGCCAATACTGAGCTTTGAGGGGATATGGGGAATATAAAAGGTACATTTTCTGGTCCAGTTGAATTATTTTCTCTCCCCACATGTACCCTGTGTCTTCTAGCCACCATGTTTTTGTTCACTTCTACCTTGTTCCTAGAATGTCCTCCCTCTTCATCTTGACCAACAGAATGTTAGCTCCTTGAGGGCAGCCGCAGTTTATTTTTGTTTTTGCATCCCTAACTTGTTGCACAGGGCCTGGCACAAAGTAAATGCTTAATTAAAATTGGTTGATTAAATTTCTATCTGTCCTTTAAAACCCAAGTCAGAAGCTACCTCTTGTATGAAACTTTCTGTAATTGTTGTCCTTCTCCATCCCATAGGTTAGTAAGAACTTTACCTCTGACATATGGAAATTTTTTGTACCTTTCTGTTAGCTACCTGCTAGTTTAGGAGTTCCATGTCTCTAAAATACTTTTCTCATCTCCACCTAGTACAGAAAGTATAAGCTATGACCTGTGTCTTCAAGAAGGTTACAATCTAGGTGAGGATATAAGGGTCTTAAGTGAAGCAAGAGATGGAAAAAATTAAGAGAACATACTATCTGCTTTTCTTTGTATCCCCAGCACTTAGCATTGTGCCTGGTACATAGTAAAAATGCTTAAATAAATGTTTGACTTGATGAGTAAATTTTGTGGTAATGACTAAAGTGGTATTATAGATATTATAAATGTTGGTTATTATAGATATTGAGAAAATGTCAAACCAGGTATAGTTTTTATTAAATTGGTTTAGGAAAAAGTACTTTAAAAGAATCAATACTATCTTTAAATTCATTGGATCTTAACCTTTTCAGAATAGAACATCTAGAAGCCAAAGAGTTGTCCCAGTTTCCAGAAGTAATATTTGGATTCTTCTCTCCAACCACGGTTATTATCAGCACACCAAATTCGGAATTTAATCCCTTATTTTCAGGAAAGACACTATTCCGACATCCAGATCACAAGTTTGAATGGGACAGAACACAATTTCAGAGCTGGTGAGTTTCATGAATAAGTGTCACAGTTGAGTTTAAAGTAATTAGTTATCTTTTTTTATATGTTAAAGTATACATTAAATTACAGGATAAATGAATAAATAAAAAAGCATTTATTAAGTGTTTACCATGTACTAATATTAAGTGCTGTTAATACATATCAAAAGCCAGACAATTTCTGCTCTCAAAGAGCTCACGTTTTAGTGAGGGAAAACAAGACATAGGTTTCACCTTCAAATTGGATGGAAAGGTCCATTGGTTCTCTAGGGTACAGTGAAAAAGCAGATGTAAATATATCTTTTTAGTGTTTCCATTAGAACCATATCCATTTCTGTGGTACTGTTTGATAATAGCAAGGGCTTTGGTAATGAGAACTTTCTTTTTGTGGATCTTTAGTGGCTATGGCTACCTTAGAGGCAAAGACAGAAGCACCTGCATCCCCAGGTTGAATTTTCACAAAGGTTATTTCTCCTAAACAGTGTCTTTGGGATCTAGGCCAGAAGCAGGGCTAGTAATCTAAAGGTGGGGTTCTGCTGTTCTTGGGGCTCTTGGACTTGCCCTTAGTGGTGGTTCTTGAGTGTTGGCAGTGGCAGGCCCTTTCTCCACAAGATGTACTTTCTTGGATGATGGGTATAGGGGCAGGGATGGAGGCAGAGATCATGATATCATTGTATTAGAGCTATGTTGATGGCAGGACCACTTTTCCCTAGTGTACCTGTCATCGTTGTGTGGGTCAGGCTGAAAGTGGGGACATCGGTTGGGAGTGGGAGATTCGTTGTTTTCCAAAGCTTGGGGTCTTGAGTTACCCCCATCTTGGCCTGAAGGGAGGTGGTTGTGGTGATTTGACCTACTTGATATGTACTGCTCCCATTCTCATCTATAGAAAGCTTTTCATTAATTTTGAATAATCTTTAAATTGGCTATAATATATTTAATCTAGTTTCTTCAAATTACCTAGGTCATCCATAGCTTCCCATGCCACAAGTTGGTATGCTTGAAAGCAATTCTAAGAGTAGCTTCAGCCAAGTGAAAGTAGAAAGATGAATCTCCTGTTTCCTTATTTTAAAGCAGAGAATAGAAGACTTTTAGATCATCTGCTGTTTTTGTCTGTTCCACACCTCTTTGCTGCTAGTCCCCATCACTATTCTTGTGGCTTTAGCATAGATTGAGTATGCTCATGAGTGAGTTTTTTTTTTTTGTTATGGAATTGTCTAAATGGTTATTCCTTTCAACAGGAGCTTTTTAGATTACAGTGCTTTTTTATTGAAGCTTGTGCTTGTCTTTTATTTTTTTTCCAAGGCTAACTATTCACCCTCCTGGTGACTTTATAAAAGGTTAAAATGAAAATACTTAAACAACAAAAGTATTAACGTTGGTTAAGCTACCAATTATTTCGTTGTTCATGGACATTAGCCAGTTGATAAACGTTATCTTCATTTTATCCATTCAGATATCAGATTTTAAGTGCTTTGTTAAAATCCAGATGGTACTGTATCTTTTGCATTCCTCTGATCTTACCAGTCTAACAACATGTCAAAAAGAAAATGAGATTCTTTGTATAACCTGTTCTTAACAAACCCTTCTGGTTCTAAGAAATTACAACTCCTCTTTCTAAATGTTCATCCCATCACTTACGTTCTATAATTTTGCCAGAGATCATTCATACTTGTGGTCTATAATTTGACCTGTTTACTACTTTCTTCCTCACCTTTGACAGTGCAGACATTTGTTGGGTCCAGTCCTATAGCACCTCTTTTGTTTGCCATTCTTTTTTAAGTATAATACACACTTTGGGCTCTATCTCCCCAACATAGCTGATATGTTGCCCCGAGAATTATAAAGGTATCCCTTAAGGGTGAAGGGGTCTCTATAATGCTGTTTATCTCCTGAGTTCCAACCATTATGCTTCCCACCAGGGTTATCAGTTAATATCACTTAGTCAGCCAGACTTAATTAGCTTTTAGAAAGTGTTATTTACTAAGGTGGTATAGTAATAGCAGTTTGTACAAAATATCCTCCCCAAGAGCCTGGGGACATGTGAGAGAAGGATAACTTACAGCTCCTGGAGACCTTTTGCTGGAGTTCTCAAGATGTTTCTCTTCAGTGGGGTGCAGCTTTTCTGCTGGGCACCTTGAAGAGCCTTGGATCTCCCTCCATTCTGTCCTTGACTCCCAATGTAGTCACTGCCATCACTTAACATTGTCCCAGAGGCCTTAGCCTGAGGAGGGAAAGAGCTCTAGCTGAAGGGAAGGTCTTCAAGTCAGATGCGCATCTGAGAAATGATAGTGAAGTAGGGAGTAAAGCCCATACAAGACTCGAGGATGAAGTGGAATACAAAGTTCAGGTCATATCAACCAGGCCAGTTTTGCTGGAACATATCAATCAATAAACATCTTAAGTGCCTACTATGTGCCAGACACATAGGCAAAGTTCAGTCCCTGCCCTCAAGGAGCTCACAAAATAATGGGGGAGACAACGTGTAAACAAAAACATACAAAACCAGCTATGTGTAGTGTAAATAGGAAATAATTAACAGAAGGAAGGCATGGGAATTAAGAGGGGTTAGGAAGGTGAAATCAGCTTGGAAAGGTAGGCTGTAGCCAGATTATGTGTGGCATTCAATGGCAAACTGAGGACTTTGTATTTTTTAGTGGCAGTAGAATGCTTCTGAAGGCTCGTGACCAGGTGAAGGGCATGGCTGGCCTGCATTTTAGAAAAATTATTTTGGCACTTGTTTGAAAAAGGGAGAGACTGGAGGCCAGGAGACCCCTCTGTATAAGAGGTGGGGAGAACTTGAATGAGAGTTGTAGCCTTATGAGTGATAAGTTTATAAGATGTGGAAGTAGAATCAATTAAAAAGGCTTGGCAACTGGTTGGATTTAGAAAATGGGGAAAGGGATTGCAAATCTGGGTACCTAGAAGGATCATAGTAATAGGAAAGTTTGGAGGAAAGGAAAGCTTGAGAGGAAGATAGTTCTCTTTTGGTCATTTTAGGTTTGAGATGCCTTTGGGACATCTAGGATTACCTAGATATTCAGCAGACAGTTGGTGAGGTGGAACTGGAGTTCAAAAGCAGTTAGGACGGTTGTATATGTGTATTTGGGAGTTATCTACATACAGACATTCCTCTTGCCCTTTATATTTGATATAATTACTAGTAGGTAGTTTGTAGACTACATTTTATTATCACATTTTTCTGTTTTTTCTTGTCTTTTTGGTTTTTCCTGTTCCACACATTTGATTTTCATTTGTCGGTCAATGGGCTCCTTTAAATTGCTTAGTGCCTCTTAATTTCTTTATTGTGTAGGATGGCCCTTTAGGATGTGTAGAATCTGAGCCAAACTGACCTTGTAGTAGAGTAGGTGGTGCCTTATGTGTTAAAGTGTCCGAGCCACTGAAATGATTTGAGATAATTTAAATCACTAGAGCTAATGAGATCCCTGAAAAGGAAATGTAGAAAAAGAAAAGGGCCCAGGAGAAAATCTTGGATAATGACTCTTGCTAACTGAGGTGGGATGTGGATGAGCCATCAAAAGAATCACAATTTCAGAATTGGAAGGGATCTTGGTGGTCATCAAGTTTAACCTGTACCTGGAAAAAGAATTCCCTCCGCCTCCCCAGTGCTCAGCCCCTGCTTGAAGACCTTCAAGAGGGCCGCCTGTTCTACCTTTTTGTTAAGTTTTTCCTTACATCAAATATGAATTTGGTTCTTTGTAGCTTCCAGTTTGGCTCCTACATCTGCTTTCTGGAGCTACATATAATGTACCTAATCCCTCTTTCACATAAAAAATGTGAAGACAGTTATCTGCCCCTCCTCAGTCTTCTGTAGGCTCAATACTCTCACTTCCTTCAACCAGTCCTTCTAGGGCACAAATTTGAGGCTCTTTGCTATCTTGGTCATCTCCCTTTGGACCTTCTCCTTATTAATGTCCTTTCTAAAATGTGATGCCTAGAATGAAGTAATAATTCTAGCATCGTTTGAGCAGAGCAGAGTACAGCAGTGACTATCACATACTTATTCCTGGAAGTTGTTTTTAGTGTAACTCAGAATTATGTTGTTTTTTGGGGGGGGAGGATAAGGGGGGGAAGAATTACCATGTTATACTTTTGTCTCGATGAACTTAGGGTCCACTTAATATCCCCAAGAGACTAGAAAGAAGCAGTCAGGCAGGAGACCAGCAGAGAGCAGTATTACAAAAGTTGAGAGAGAGAACAATTTCCAGGAGGAAATAATAAAAGTAAAGCAATCAAGAAGGATGAGAACTGAGAAAAAGCTGTGAAGTTTAGCAATAGGTTGTTGGTACTCTTGGAGAAAGCTGTTTTAGGCAGGTTTCAAGAGAGTGAGAAAAGAGTAGGGGACAAGAAAGTCAAGGCAATAAGAGTAGATGACCCTTTCTAAGCATTTGGCTGTGAGAAAGATGTAGATGGGATAATGGAAGGTTTGCAGGGTCAAGTGAAGGAGAAGATGAAGAGAAGAGAAGGGATTCTTAAAGATAGAAGGTCCTAGAGAAGGGGATGGATGGGATTGAGGTCAGGACAATATTGTATGATATTGTCTAAGCTGCACAGGTAGGGAACCTTAAGCCTGCAGGCCACGTGTGGCCTTCTGGGTCCTTGGTGTTACCCTTTGACTGAGTCCAAGTTTTACAGAACAAATCCTCTTATTAAGGGGATTTGTTCTGTGAAGTTTGGATTCAGCCAAAGGGCTGCACTTGAGGACCTAGAAGACTACATGTGGCCTCAAGGCTGCATGTTCCCCACCCCTGGACTCTAAGATATATCATGAGGTATAGAGCTGGGAAAAGGAGTTTAAGATAGCCTCTTTCTTTAATGAATTAGGAGAGGTCCTCTGAGAGAAAGCATAGGGTCATTTTATAAGGGCTCGAGAAGAGGGTGTGTGGAAAGGCCATATTGGGGAGGATAAACCCCTCCATGGACATATAATTTCTTTAAGTCTTTTTTCCCCCCTCAATAATAGAGCTTTATTTAGGAAGACAACTTTTTTTTGTCCTTTAACATTCATTGCTACCCTCAGCTCATTCTGAGCCCTAACAGTCCTGACTGGGACTTTTGAATTTTTTTAGTTGCATGTCTTTGCTTCTCTTTGGGGGAGGGGGGGAATCTTAATTTGGTTGATGAATTCTGTATCTATTCCCCTCTTTCTTCTTATTGTAATTACTTGTCAGAATTTCCTTGAGACCATTTCATTTCTCCTGGGCCAGCTTCCCATGTAGAATTGCAGATGCTGGGATCCTACTTACTCTTTTTCTGAAATATTGAAATCTATTCTTAGTCTAGGATGCACAACAGACTTATGCCCAGATTTCTCCCTTTTTAGCTGTCACAAGCTTTAATGAGAGAATTACCATTGGCTTTCCGAGACTCTAACTACATAATCTAGCATCTAGAACTTCAAGATCAAAAGCAAGTCCAGAATAGCAGTCTCTTCACCTTCTATTACTTCTATATATTTTTTGAAAAGTGATCATTTAGATAAGTTTAATATTAATCAGCTACTTCTGCTGTTAACAGAATTCTAGCAGATGTCCACATAATTGTTATTCTCCATCGCTGCTATAAAGATACCTCAGATTCAGGAAACTAATCTTAAGCTTTATGGGCAGTTCTTTAATACATTTTACCATGATAGCATTTTCATTTCTCCCTTAATTGATTTCTTCCATGCTTCTAGTGTGTGGATTTCTTCCCATTTTCACCTTGAGGCAGCGGTAGTATAGTGGTTTTGGAGTCAGAATGATAGTAACTTAAGTATATACACAACCAATTACAGTTCTATTTGAAGAAATCATGGGTCTTTGGGGTATGCATGTTAAGTGTCTGGTTAAACTCTGTAATAATACCAAATGAGGAATAAGCCAGGCATGCTTATAATAAGACGTGCTTGCCAGAACTTGTCACTTACCACTGTCATAGAGGGGGTCCATCACAGAATCTGTTCTTTATAGATGATGCAATCCTTTGGATGCTCTTATTTGTGGATGTGTGGTGGTCTCCAGAAGACTGCAAACCTTCCTAAGTGGGATCCAGTATAACTCCAGGGTTGAGCCTAACTATCCACACATACAAGGAACAACCCATAGACCAAGAATGCCTGTTGTCCATTCTGTCACGCACTTGAATTGATGGCCCATAATGCTGGTCCCTGTATATGTATGTTTGATGGAGAAACACTTTAGGAGAACACAATTAGAGAAGAAAATGGAATGATTTGCATATGGGGAAATTGCACTGTGCTTTTAATGACCTCTTTGAAACAAAGGCCCATCTTTCTAACATTAATATTCTGGTGATGTGATGTGGCTACCAAGCATGGCAGCGTGCACCAAGTCTCCAAAGTTCAGGTCACCTCGAGGGCATTGGAGAGACATGTAGACAAGAGTAAGCTACACCATATTTCCAGTGAAGGACTATGCAGAAGTGGCAACATAAGAGATTCTCCAAGAAATATGTACCAAGAAAGGAAAGTAGGCCAGTCATAATAAGAGGTAGATAATCAGTAGTTTGCCAAGTCCTTATGCTCCATTGATACCTTATGTTGAGATTTAGAAGTTGGCCCTAGGAGGTAAATCCCTGTAGATTTATGGGAGGACCTGTGTAAGAATGAGAAGATATCATGAGTTGGAATCTGCACTGCTGGAGGGAGCATCCACACTGATCATAGATCCATCAAAGTATGTGCAAGGCACCAGGCTAGGTTCTAGGGGTGCAAGGATAGAAACAAGTAGCCCTGTTCTCTAGGCACTTATTTTCAGTTGGGAGGATATGTGATATGTGTAGAAGAATGAGCTAATTTGAGGAGAGAAACATGTTGGCAGAGGCAGAAATGAGGGAATACTTTGTGACGGTGATACCTAGCTGAATTTTGAAGGAAAGCATGGATTCTGAAAGACAGAAATGGAGAGAGAGAGCATTGTCTAGGCTTGGGACAGCTTAGACAAGTGCATAGGGGCAGAAAAGGGAATGTGAGTATGGAGAACAGCCAAAAAGTAGAATATGTGGAGTAATAGGAAATCTAGAAAGATAGACTGATGCCATAGTGTGAAAGGCTTTAAATGTCAGGTTGAAGCATTTTTATTTGATCCTAAAGTTTGCCCTCCTAGATGTCATTGAAGGCTTTTTCAGCCAGGAGAATCATAGTAAGACTTTTTGCCCTAGGAAGAAATAGGTGTGTGTAGAATAGAGGAGGAAGATGATTGTATTTGATAGAGGTTATTGTATTTGCTTTGTTTCTTTTGAGTAAGGCCACCTTTGATAATACTCTCAATAATTCTCATGAGGTTAAATTTAACTCCTTGAATTAGAATCTCTATTTCACGTTGTTTATTATACGGACTCTGGGTTTGGTTTTTTTGTTTGTTTTTTTTGGTGAAGCAATTGGGGTTAAGTGACTTGCCTAGGGTCACACAGCTAGTAAGTGTCAAATGTCTGAGGCCGGATTTGAACTTGGGTCCTCCCGACTCCAAGGCTGGAGCTCTATCCACTAAGCCACCTAGCTGTCCCCAGACTCTGTTTTTATATCAACATCTGAGGCTATATGTTTAATTGCTACCTGTCTTGGATATTGTTTCCTGTGAATAAGTGCTTCTCTTCTCTATTTTGTGTGTTGTATCTTTTACTACCTCTGCTATCTGGTTTGGCAGATATATATATGGGCAGTTTTCTTCTTTATTTTCCATTTAAAGCTTTCTTGATCATATTTGCAAGTTTTTAAGGCACATTTTTTTTTGCTAGCCTTTAATTAGATGTCATTTATCCCAGGTAAATCTAAAGTGATTATTAGCGGTTAGTTTTGATAGATCTCTCATCACATTCTAGATGCATGCCACAGGAAAACCAGATACCTGCTTATTCGGGTTAAGTTACCATGGTTGCCTTGGGATGTTTGGTCAGGGTGTTGCTAACCACAAGAACTAACATCTTCCTAGAGTATCTCCCCAGTGGCATCTTCATTCCATGGAGCATGAGAAATTGCTTTCTCCTCTCAGTATGGACATAGCCATTTATTGATTAAAAAATTCCTAATGTTCATTGGTCCTTTTACTTGTCTCATTCCTCCCCCAGCTGCAATTGTGACATGAGTTGTGATGCTCTTTTGCTTCTTTGTTTCCCCTTTGAAGCACTTGTTCTCTTTTCAAGGAGCATTTCCTTTTCCCTTAATACACTGGAGGATTAAAAAAAAGGTGCCTGACAGCCTTTTTTCCTTAAGAGGAAGACCAAGCCTGCATTTTTGCCCACACTTAGCCATTAGCTGGCAATGATAGAAATGAAAGCAACACACTCCCTGCAGGCTGTGGATCCTTTCAGATTTCTAGAATTTTTACAAGTAAATTTTTCTCTAGTTATGTGTCACTTGTATTATATCAATTAATCGAGTATTTAAGTGCTAGAATGTTGTTTTTCTTTATCCTTTTGGTTCTCTGTGTTCAGTTTAGGCAGCTTTCATTTGTCAAGGGCTGGATTATCTACCTAAATAGATTATTTTAAATCATTTGCAGCTTCCTACCCCCTATTGTCAGCTATCAAGGATTAAATTTAGTATTGTAGCCAGAGAGGAATGTCTGAGAAAAGACAACCTTCTGCCAGAAAAAGTAGTGGTTTATGGTATATGGTCTTAGGGCATTGAGAAGGGCCTTTCTTCTCCCATCACCACAAAAACCTTAAAAAAACACAAAACCCAGATTCTCTGATTCCAGAACAAAGTCTTTCATTTGTCAATTTTGAAATGTGATTTAAACTGTAAGCTCCTAGAGAGAGGGAACATATTGACTTGTGTTCATACTAAGAAATGAATGACTGGTATAAAATTCTTTATTGAGCCATCTCTGATAAAGAATGAGTGGAGAGAGACTCGTGAAGACATCAGCGACCTCCTGGGTCTGGATAGGATTGGATAAAGAACAACAGGGCTCTGTGGGAGTAACAGTAGCTTATACTTATGTAGCACTTAGAAGCTTAATCTCCTCACAACACTCTGTGAGGGAGACAAAAGTATCAGCCTCATCTGCAGACATGTGAAGAGGTGGGCTCAGAATGGTTTAGTAACTTGTCCCTTGTGATATGGTTGGTAAATAACAGGGCCAAGAATGAAACAGAAGTCTTCTTACTGCAAGTCCATTGTTTTCTACCATACCACGCTGTTTCTGCAGAAGACCCAAGACAGGAGAAGTCGGAGCAACAAAGACAAACTGGGCTTTTTGGACAACACTCTTAGGCCTTTGTGTTTTACTGCTTAACTGACTGAGTCAGGGTTACCTACTGCTTTTCAAAGCCAAATATAAATTTTGGATAGGCATTACGTTTTATCAGTACTATTTCCTCCTCTGGTGTGAATGATTTACAATTAACACTATTAAGGTATCAACTTGATGGATTGGGGAAAGAATGATCTCCAAGTTGAGTAGTAAAGTATTATTTTTGAAAAATTTGCATTTTTGAAGCATTTTATAATTTACTAAATTATGTCTTATATGTACATATGTGTATATATATTTTATCTATATAGTACATATACTATATATTACATGTCTATAGATGTATAGTTAAACTTATCTATATGAATGAAACTTTAATTTTTAAAATTTTGTTCACTTGAAAAACTAAGCTATTTCAGATAGAAATTTCTTCTGATTAGACTTATGGCTCTAATATAATTTGATCTGGTTTTAAAAGCAGTTAAAATATATAACGAGATAATTTGTCTGTTTCCCTTTAGGGCTTTAGATGCAGCAAGACACTATGGTTATTCAGTGGAGTTTACTGGATTAGGGGACCCACCACCTGGAGCTGAGGCTGTTGGGTTCTGTACTCAGATAGGGGTCTTTGTGAAAACTATACCAAACACTATTGAATCTCTGCACAATGAAAAAACTATAGAATGTACTCATACAACAGTAAGTATTTCTTAGACTCTTAAGATGAAATGCAAACTTACTAATCTTTGTAAGAGAGAGTACAAGGCTAAGAGACTTGCAAAATTAGGTGTTATTTCCTTGACTCAGCAATAGAGAATAATTTCCTCAACTGCTTATTTGATAAAAAAAAAAAAATAGTCTCTTATTGGCACTAGAAAAGATGGCTGGGATGTTGCTGTGTTTAGGGTGTGTTTCCTTGTATCATTTGCCTGACACCTGAATCAGAAGTTGGCGCCTTTGCTAAGCAGTTCAGGGAATGATGAAACAAGCTAGGGAAGCTGAGAAAGCTTAGTTACAATGACTTACTATGGCCTCATGGTTCTACAGTGCTGGCCTATTGATTGTAAAATTAGCCAACAATTAATCAACAGGCATTTATTAAATGCCTGCTATGTGCCAGGCCCCTTGTACTAGGACCTGATGATACAAAGACAAAAAGCACATGGAGTGTGAGTCCCTTTCCTCAAGGAACTTGCATTCTGTTGGGGGAGACGGCATGTACATATGTAATTGAAAGGAGATAGTTGAGGCAATGAGGAGGCTGTTGCGGTAGCCCAAGCAGGTGGTGAAAAGGACCTCAGAAATTTGTGTGAGTAAATAGAAGGGAAGGGGGATGTGAGAGAGAGGTAGAATGGCAAGCCTTCGCAACTGATTGGATTGGGGGTGGGAGAGTCAGAAAAAGGAAGATTGTGAATCTTAGATGACTAGAAACATAATGGTGCACTCGAAATAGGGAAGCTGGAGGGAGAGACAGGTTTAAGAGTAAAATAGTGAATTCTTTTTTATACATGTTGAGTTTGAGATGTCTTTGGAACATTCAGATATAGTTACCCAGCAATCATTTGGTACTGTGGGGCTGGGATTCAGCTTAGAGCTAGATAACTGGATTTGGGCATCAGCTGCATGAAGAAAACGGAAGAGATGGGAGTAGATGAGCTCACAAAAAGGGCATAGGGCAGAGAGACCAGGACAGGGCCTTGAGGGTACTTCCATTTATGAGGGCTGAATATGCATAATTCAGCAAAGTTAAATGGAGGACTGGTTAGACCCATGAGAGAGCCATGTTGCAAATTGAGGGAGGAGAGAATACCCATGAGGAGGTCATCAGCAGGGTCAAAGACCACAGACAGGTCAAGGAGAAGGAAGCCTGAGGATAGGCCATGGGATTTAGCCTTTTAGAAATGGGTGGTCAGGGAGAGGGGCTGGGGGCCAGATCTGAGTGGAGGTGAGAAGTGAATGCTGAGTAGTCACATCTATGCTTGTTTCACTACTGTTTAAAAACTATTTATTATAAACTGTTAATTTGTTTTGGTAATTTACATTTAGGTGAATTTTGGTTAATTCTCTGTTCCGCTTCTGCTTTTCTTACTTTGAATTATTTCATAAAGGTTCATTTAGAATTTTCTCTATTGCTCATACTTGTCATCTTAATGGTAGTAGACATGGAAGGGTTCAAGTGGAGATGGCGCTAGGCTGGGAGTCAGGAGTTTGAGTCCTGCCTCACTGGCTGTGTTGTCCCAGGAAAGTCACCCCCCCATAGCCTTCAGTTTCTCTCTGAAATGGGAATACTTGCCTCACAGCTTTTGTTGTTATTATTATTATGAATTATATGTGAAGACAAAATAAGAACATAAAACGCTGTATAAATGTTATTATTCAGTTACATCAGTGAGCCATGGTTTATTTAATCACTCCTGTTGGGCATGCAGGTTTTTGCCAGTCTTTAGAAGTTATAAATATTGCTATGGGAATCTTTGAACAAGAGGGTGCTTGTTGATAAAACTTCTGGGGTATATTCCTAACAGTGGAATTACTGGGTCAGAGGCAGCTATTCATTTTTCTTGATATCTTCACTACCTAGACTTGGTTCAGTGATCTCATGTTTTCGATAAAAACCCTTCTGGAACGTTGACACTTTAAAGCCATTGCTTCTGCATGTACAGAATGTACATTAAAAAAAAAGTGACTTGTTCCCACAGGTGTCAGTAAAAAGTATCATGAAGAAAATATCCTTTCTTTTCCCATTCCTTCCTAATAGACCTTAAAAATTAAATGAGTCTTTAAATTTAGTTAGCAGTCAGTTTGATTGGATTATTCCAGATATAATATCAATTTGTACCATGTAAATTCACTTCTCTTATTTTAGAATTTCTAGAAATTAGAATTTCTAGAATATAGTTCATTGAAGGCAGGGCCTGTCAGTTTTGGTTTTTGTATTTGGTTTGTGAGTTTCGTTTTTTGTTTTGGTATCTTTTGCACTATCTTTTTAGCCTTGTTATATGTTCCCCTAATACCAGGTTTCAGCCCACCTGCCTTATTACATTCTCTCTCATCTTCATGCCTCTGCTTGGGCTGTCCTCCATACTTGGAATACATTCCCTCTTCATCTGATTTCTCAGAATTCTGAGCTTCCTTCAAGTTTCAGATGAGGTGCGGCCTCCTACACTGGCTCTGACTTGATCTCCACAGTTGCTCGTGCTTCAATCTCACAAATTTATACACTTTGTCTATTTTATGTTTCACTTACATGCTCCCATTCTCTTCCCCCCCCTCCCCCTAGTAGAATGTAAGCTCCTTGAGAGCAGGGACTGTCTTAATTTTTGTCTTTGTATCTCAAGTGCCTATCGGTTCACATAGTAAGCACGATATAAATGCATGATGGGTGCTAATAAGTATTTGTTGAATAGAATTAAATAGCTCTCATAAATTTCTTGTGATATCCTTCAGGAGACTGAGATTCAACTAATAATTTTACATTTCTTCCCCCATCTCCCTACAGAGTACAATCATTTTGTAGCGTGGTCTTGCTTAGATTTTTTTTTTCCTTGGGGGTGTGTGTGTGTGTGTGTGTGTGTGTGTGTACGCTCAAGCACACACTTAAGGAGCATCTTTTGTGTTTCAGAATAGTAACTGACATTTTCTTCTACTCCCTCCAGGTTGGTACAGTGATATATCCAAGCCTGAAGGAAGAAAAGTACCTTAGGAAGGCAGTATCCAACGAAGTTTTTTCTCAAATCTTAAAAATGAAGAGAGTTCTACTGGAGAGTCCCAAGATGAAGAATGACAGCAATAGTGGTGATGAGCTTGAATTTGTCAAGCCTAAATGTGATGAGTCCAAAAATGACCCCACTGAGGAGATCCCCAAGCCATTCTGTATTGAAAATGCATTTTATGTACCTCTGGAAAGGCTTTTCTCTTTCCCCAAAATAAAACACCTATGTGGTGACCTTGAGACGTTAAAAATGCTAATTGCTGATGAAGTAACGCTAAGCAGTGATGGTTCTTCTGTCATGATTCACATTGTCGATGAAGAGGACTGATTTGAATGACAGTGATGGGGATGACTTATGATTTGGTTGACTGCAATGGGGAGGAGCATAATGGTGGTGGCTCTGGCCCTTGCCTACGATGGGGATGACCAGGAAGATCATTGCTGAGTCATTGTTGTTTTCACAAATTCAGGGAATTAAACTTCTTAATGGGCTCTGCTGGTTTTTTTTTTTTTCTTGGAGGAATCTTAGGACAATTTTATTAGTTTGAGGTTTGGGGTTAAATTTAAATTATTGATTTTGTAAACCAGTGGTGCCAAACTGAAATAGAAATGGGGCCACTAAACCATTCATAAAGATCCTTGGGGGCTACACTGACTTGAGGGAAAAAAACCACATTACCATTATGTACTGTTGTGTTTTTATTTTGTTATATGTCCCAGTGATATTCTGATCTAATTGTTGGTTTGACACAGCTGGTTCAAACTCCTGAACTCCCTTAGTCTGACTACTCTCCTTACCAGAAACACCTGAGCAGAACTACCTACACCTTCAGATCACAGGGCTAGATTATGCCCTTCTGTGCTAAGCATTAATGACAAAAAAAACTCCCTAGTGAGAGACATTTTTTTTCATTGGGACTCTCAGGGTAGATGTCATTTATCCCATGCCAGGGTGATGTGGCAACTCTGCTGGGGGATTTGTCAGCTTCTCTGCCTTGCCTTTCTCCCACCTGTGCTGCAAAGCCTGTTCGATTTCCCCTTTTTGCTTTGTATTCTCTGGAGCTAAAGAGAATCCTGCTCTGGAGTTCTAAAATGGCCAAGCATAGATTGCAAGACAGTGCTTTGGATCGTGGAAGCTCAGGAATAAACTGGGGGAGATAAGTGGACAGGGAGCTGTGGGTTCAGGAAGTAGGAAATGAGTCCATGAGGGTGCACTATCATATATGGGGGGGGAGGAGGAAATGTTATGCCATCAGCCACTCAAAGGCTAATGGCTAATGTGAGATAAATGTCAAAGTGAACATTCTTGTAAAAGGAGTCCAGCTTCAGAATGGGGCATTTTTCCCTAGCACTGTCTTCCTTCCTGTACTCTCTACCTTTAAAAAAGCTTTCATCTGTACTGCTAGACATCCTGTTGTGTATCCTTATTTTCTTACATTTGTGTTGTTGTAACACAACATTAATATTGAAAAGAGATAGGACCTGTGACTTCGTTGAAGAGAAAACGCCCTCTTTCAACTGCCCAGAGTGCAACTTCACCTGTCCACGTCAGACCTGAGAGTCAAATCCAGGCCTTCCTGGCTTCGAGGCCATTTCTAATCACTCAACCACACTGCCTTTGCATCAATTACATTAGGGAGTCCTTCCTTTCCTGTTATCTCACAGCTCCCTGATATTAGCTGTCAACTCTAAACATTTGCTTTATGCACCCTGACTGTGGATTGTAGGCATAGAAACAAATGTGACATACGGAAATCAGACTCTCCAGTGTCGGATGAAAACCAAGAACAGCCAGATGGGACAGCCTGGAGGGAAAGTCAAGGCTTGTGTCATAGGAGAAATCTTCATGCTCTTATTAAAATGTAAAATGACTTGAGTTTACCTGCTTAGGAAATTAATACTTAAATTGTCTTGGAAAAAAGACAGGTTAATTGGGAAAAGTGGAAACCAAAACTATCACCCAGGACTCTCAGTTGCATAAGATTTCATGAAGATTCAGAGCTGAAAAGTAACTTGGAAAACATCTAGTTCAGTCTGTGCCTAACAAAAATATTACCACCACAACACATTTTTAATCCTAGTGAGTACAGCCCCAACTCTCGAGGAAGCCCATTCTACTTCTGAATGGCTCTGACTGTTGGGAAGTTTTTGCATAGCAAGCCTATTTTCTCTCTTTTCCTCATCTGTAAAATGAGCTGGAGAAGGAAATTGCAACCCACTCCAGTATCTTTTTTTTTTTTTGGCAAGTAGAGGAGTTTATTTTTTTAATAATTTATTTTTAGTTTTCAACATTTCCTTTTATAAGATTTTGGGTTCTAAATTTCCCCCCTCCCCAAGACAGCATGCAATCTGATATAGGTTATTAATATATGATCATATTAAACATTTCCACACTAGTCATGTTGTGAAAGAAGAATCAGAACAAAAGGGAAAAACCATGAGAAAGAAAAAACACAAAAGAAAATGATATGCTTTGAAGTGCATTCAGATTCCGTAGTTCTTTCTCTGGATGTGGATAGCATCTTTCATCATGAGTCTTTTGGAATTGTCTTAGATCATTGCATGGCTCAGAAGAGCTAAGTCTAATAGTCTGTCCTAGCACAATGTTGCTGTTACTGTGTACGGTGTTCTCCTGGTTCTGCTACTCCAGTGTCTGCCAAGAAAACTTCAAATGGGGTCAATAAGAGTCAGACAACTGAAAAAATGACTCAACAAAGTATATAGTGGAATAATGTGAAATGTTTGGAAACATAGTTTGGAGCCATGTCATGAAGAGCTTTGAATGACAGCGAAAGGAGATTGTATTTAATTCAGAGGCAACAGGAAACCACGGAAGATTCTTGACAAGGTGAGTGATGTATTTAGATCTGCACTTTAGGAAGATTATTTTGTAGATGTGTGGAAGATGGATTGGAGAGGGGACATCCTGGAAACTACAACCTGACTTCTTAAACTCCCAACTCAGTACCACAGAGACAAACTCAAGTTATGGCCATGTTTAGGTCTTCCCCCTAAAAGTACACAATCTGTAATTTGAATCAGATGTAGGACAGGTAATTTGTTCTTACACACAAAGGAAACATTAAGCACAAAAGAGCAGACATTAACAGAATGACAAACTAGGCAGAATAACTTACGGCTACTGTTACAAATCTCCTGGATGACAGACACTTCAACCTCTTAAGATCATAAAGTTGTCCATGATACAACTATTTTCATTAACTTCAGCTCTGCACTGTCAAAACAACTCCAGGTACCTGTTTTATTTTGTTTTTTCAGGCAATTGGGGTTAAGTGACTTACCCAGCTAATAAATGTCTGAGGCTAGATTTGAACTTAGGTCCTCCTGACTCCAGGGCTGGTGCTGTATCCATTGTGCCACCTAGCTGCCCAATGGTACCTGTCTACTGAAAATGGTGGTGACTATTCTCTTCAAGAACTCTGGAATAATTGCTGGACACTCCTGCCTTGCTGCTATTTTGCTCCAACCTGATCAGACCTCCAGACCTTTTGAACCCACAAGATCACCTCTATTCCTGGAAATACATATCTAGGGATAGATACTCGTTTGTCTAGGCTCAGAAATGGTCAAACAAAAAAATGGCAGCCCAATGGGCTTGGGCATTAGATGCTGTGTGCTCACCGCTGCGTGAAGGCCAGAGGTAGGAGATTCAGCCAGTTGACCTTCCACATCCCTCTGCAGCTCTCTCAGAAAGCAGTATAAAATAGTTCTGTCAATGAACCAGAACTATAAAAAAGACCAAGGAAGGTTGTAGGTCAGGGTGGTACCTTTCTTTTGGACATTGGATGAGCATTAAGTTTTCCTAGCTCCACATGCAATATAGGGAATCTTCATCACTTCAAAGGGTAAGCCCTCTACCCCTGAGTCATCCATGACCATAAATAGTCCTCAGAGTTCCCGAGTGGTTAATCAGAACCAGGAATGGCTACTCTGACCATATTCCATGTGATAGACCGTTTATATTCACTAGCATCTTTGCTCAATTGACAGGTGTGAGAAAATCTTAAGGTTGTTTTAATTTGCATTTTTCTGATAGTGATTTTGAATCTTTTTTTTTTTCTCTAGGGAGAAATTGATTATTTTTTCCCCTTTTGTGAACTGTTCAGGTTCTTCGACCACTAACAAGTGGTCAAATACTAGGGGAATGTCTCTTAATCCTGTACATTTGTGTCAATTCCCTCTAGATTTGGATGTCAGACTTTTCTCATCAATTTCATGCAAATTCCCCCCTCTCCCTCCCAATCCCTATCTTTTCTTTTGAAAGATTTCAGCTAAACCTGTGGCCTCTCCCTCTAATGGGATGTTTCCTCCCAGAACCACCATGTCTCATTCTTTTCTAGGCTATACTCTAAACTTTCTTTACCATGTCCTCTCTTTAACCTGAAGCCTTACATGCAGATCAGGAATACATTGGAAGTACCTTTTCCCCCTATGCCTCTCCCTATCATTGGATGGCTTCTTCTCTGGACTTCCATTTAAAGAGGACACCCAGACCAAATATGTCTCATTCTTCTCCAGTTTGCCCAGCTGCGGTACCTTTGTTTCCTGCTCCCTCCACCCACCCCACAATTTTTCAGCTTTCTTTTTGAGTTGTCTTCCCTTGTTAGAATATAAACTCCTTGGGGATTGTCTTTCTTTCCACTTGTATTTTTATTCCCAGTGCTTTGCACAGAGCTTGACACAAAGTAAGAAATTAATATACACTTGCTGAATGATTTGTGTAAGAGCTTTTACTTTTTTTATGTCATCAAAAGTTTGATCTCAAATTTTAATGATCTTTTATCCCTTGTGTGATGGGTTACAAATTCTAATTGGAAAAGCACAACCTTCCATTCTTCTTTAATTTTTTTTTTATGGTGTGACTTTTTATACTGTACTTAGATCATTTATCCATTTGGAGTTTATTTTAACATCAGGTACAAGATGCTGATATAAACCTATTTTTTTTTAATAAACTACTTACCCCTTTTGCAAGTAATTTGCATTCTGAACACTAGACTACTTACTATGGATACTTGTTTTTAGGTCTAGCAAGACCTAATACTGTTGAGGTCTAGAGGTTTAGGGGTGCTAGGACCCCAAAATATTGAGAGCAAGAGGCATGGATCCTGCCAGAAATTTGACCCAAGTCTTCTTTCAGCCAGAGACAAGGTTTATTAAAGATCTGCCATATTAGCCAGAATCTTAAGGAATCTGAACATTTGTGAGCTACTGGCTAGGTTCTTAAGGAATCTGAGCACCTTAATGGAGACAAGATGGACCTTATATACAAAAAGACTATAGGAGTGGCCAAGTAGTTTGAGGAGACTGTGAGGTAATAGATCAGCAGGGACCTGAACCACTGTGGCCAAGGGAGAATGGAGCCTAGATAGGATTAAGGGTGGGAAGGGGGGGTGGTGGTGGGGGGAATAGGGAGGTAAGACAATGGAGGGCCAGGAGCAGAGAACTGGGAGATTGGGTGTAG